GATATATACGTGGCAGTTCATGAATGGTTCAATCATTAAATGGATATCACAGTGTTATTCGGTTCAACATCTTTGCTTCCTCAAATTGAAATATCAAAAATAATTAAATTCGCTTAATTTGAATTGCTTTTTTATGATTAAATCTACAATAAAATTAATCGAAAAATCAATTATTAATAATATATTTTAAAACATATATAAATCTTATTAATAAAAAATAATAAGATAAAACTCACATAAATTACACGTGTATAAAAGGATTATGATCAGTACATCATCACAAAACGCCAAATGGGAGTCCATCATCGACACGTAAGCAGTGAAACTGGTGATGCTGGGATCAAAACCATCCATTCCAATTTGTCCGTCTACCCTTTTTGCATACTTGGCTGTGCTTTGGTTGCCACCGTGGCAAATCTACTTTAGTCAATAAAAGTTCAAATTTTAACCATTCAACGTTCCACGTGGCATCTTCCCATATTGTACACTTGTCATTTCTGGTTGATACGGCAAACCAAGAAAAGTCCACACCGACGCAACCTCAAACCACATTCAAATGACACTTGGCAAAATTTGGATGGTGGAAAAAATGTGAATATTTTTCCATGGGGTACACGAAAAGGAGCTGATATCAATCTCCTCACACAGGTTGCCGATCACCGGCTCCGGTGTCGTCATCTTTATTTAAAATATTAATAATTATATGTGTAAATATTAATATGATATAATTATAAACGGATTAATATTTAAAATTTATAAATGCATATAGAATGTGATTTATTGATATATTTACGGAACAAATTAAGCAAATCATATTATATAATTCACATAATAATGTAATTAATTAAAATAACTAAATATATTATAACGAATTAAATAAAATATGATTTATTTAATATACGAAATTATGTGTCTTAATTGTATACACGTCACCAACATCGTCATTCTCAACTTTTGAGATATTGATTTTTTCCGAACAAACCGGTCACGTGCTCTAATCTTTTTCTATTAGGGGCGTAGAAAGGGCCATAAGCGAAATATTTCCAAAAATAGATTAATAAAAAAAGGGATTTTTTAATTTTGGACATCACACTAAAATCTTTGGTAAAAAGTCTCAATAAATAAATAAATAAAATAAAAATAGATCAGAAATTTATGGCTAGAAATTTTTGGGAGGAAAACTTGATAGAAATGTCTTCGTAATTTTGTTGAGAATTACAAAAAGTAAAGACATTTCAAGAAAAATGTTGTTTATGGGAAAAAAATTAAAAAAAGAAAAGAAGGAAAATAGCAATGGGAGCCCTACTATATATAGAAAGCCTTTTCGGTTGAGTTTCATTTCATCCTGTTCTCTTTCTCTGTGTCTTCTTCCAAGACTTGGGAGACCATTCCAAGGTATCAAGCAAGGACAGAAATCTGTGCCTCGGAATCTCATGTCCTCCAGAAAAGGAAAGGATAAGAACCCCATCGTTAGTTTTCAATCCCTTTCATAGAAGAAGGAAGAAGGAATTCGTGCTTTGCTCTTCTCTATGTCGATATCTTGTAGTTTCAGTCGTTGATTATGAACGCCATCAATATCCTCAGCAAATCCACCATGAAGCTTCCGTCGAGGGTCCTGAGCCTCAGAAACGCATCGTTTTTGGGGTTCAGATATTCGTTTAATCCCCCTTGTTGTGAAGAAAAGCTTACCTGCAAGAGCAAGGCTTTTCTGTTGATATTCAATCAAA